GTTTTCCTTTGCTCGTTCTTGCTAACCCTGGGTCGCCTTGCTTTGTACTTGGACTCGTCCTTGGGCTCCGGACTTCAGATCTTCCTCACAAGTTCCGCGCCGTGACCTGTCGAAAAGGAACTGGTGACACTGGTCCACGTGGCTCCTTCACGGCGAGGATCGACGCTATCTTGTCCCGTCTAGGGTGCTTAGGGGAGGGTGCGGGGGAGATCGTAAGGGAGAGAGGGGTGTGGGAGGAAGCAAGAAGGGTTGGGCTGAGATTGAGGGAAGGAGGGAGGGAGGAGAGAGAGGATGAGCGTGGGGGAGAGAGATGGAGGGAGGGAAAGAGAGGGAAAGAAAGAGAGAGAGAGAGATCAGATGCAGATAGTCTGAAAACGCATATTAAAAAGAAAGAGGAAGACATGTAGTGGATAAAGAATTCAGAAACAAGTAGAGACAAACAGACATTGAGAAAAACTAAGGAACTGCTGGTGGCAACACCATAATGGAGAATCATTCACTCCTCTCGGGCAGTGCTTGAGGCCTCTCTGACCTCGTCTAATACTAAAGACTGACAATGGAGCCACGTCAAAAATCTACTGACACTAAACGAGGAATATTGTGAGGAAATCGCTAATTCATTTCAACAAAGAGAGTCCAGGCAAGACCCGGGATCCCGACAGCGTTTTCGTGTTGGTAGAGGCATAATATATGTTTTTACTGCTATACACAATCGTTTGATATTAGGGTGAAATAGGTAAGTTTTACTCTTTTATAAGATAAACAGAAAGAAAATGGCAATAGAAATACAAATTAATTATATTTCACATCAGCCGTTCGTAATGGATGAGGAGAATTTAATTTGCAATCATGGAGGAAGTATTTGAATTATCAAATTAAGTATTGTGCCAGTTGTCGATATCAGGTTCGTCAATAGACAATTTCCAGTTATTTTCCAAGATAACCTGGACAAAACGAAGCCATTGAAACAATCCCCGAAAAATTTAGTAATAAGAGAAAATAGATGTATATTAAGAGTAATGGTAGTAAATAGTAAAACAGAGTAGGTAAATAAAATCAATGATAAGTGTATAAAACCAGTTGAAACAAATTTACCAATATCAAAACTCAAACTTAAGGAAATGAAACAGGAAGTCACAGACATTTTACTTTCCCACACGACCAGATTCACTCCCAATAAATCAATCGGAGATGAATGTCAGAACTCAGAACTGGGATGGGCTTTAAACTCTTGCCACTGCTCTCTTCCCGGAGTTCTCGCCAATATTTGAACAGTCACTCGAAATAGCTTGCATTGAAGCTTCGTTCACGGAACCGGACTCTTGACTAAGACCGTAGACCAGTGTTTCCCAAACTCACAGTGATGACACCCTTAACTTTTCTTCAACACCCCCACCTCACGCGAATTTACAATTACAACTAAGTGCATTTTTGGCTGTTCCACGAAATGATGGAGCTCGAAAAAATAAACGGATTATATGTTCATGGTCAGAAGAATTAGACCGACCAGTTTAAGAATCACTTCTTTAAACAATGAGCGAAAGTCTTGCTTAGGATTATTGCTGCTAGTTAAGAATTTTGCACATGGCTTGGAGAAGACTTTGCCCATGGCTTTTGACGGCTATTAACCACATTGTTTTGACTTAACCATCGTATTTGATGCAGGGCAAGCTCGTTGGGTAAGATTTTTAATCTTGACTTTTGCCAAAATCTTTGAGCACAGTTTGTAGTAGTAGACTAAACGTGACTCAGGATTTTGACAGTCTTCCTGAGAGGCACAAAACCAAGAATCAAGAACTGGTTGAAGACGCAACATCACCCCTCCCACTGATTGGAATTGGTATTCATGATAGAAACAATTGAAGAATGTAAATGGCTTCTTTTTGGGAAAGATATGTACTAGTTAAAGTGATTCTTACTCAGCCTTGTCGAATGACGCTATGAAGATGTACAGTCCTCAAAAATATGGGAACTACTGATTTGTTGAAATCTATAGGAAGGAAAATCTAGCAAGATAATTCCGCACTATTTGTTTTAATTCCAGGATTGTTTTGTTGTGGAATGTTAGACATTACAGATATCTCAGTGTAAAGAAAATGAATCAAAATTTTACGTTTCTTTTTTATTTTATTTTTTTTTTAAACAAACTACGTGGATAAGGAGAAAGGGTGACTAGAAAAAAAGTTAACAATGTATGAACATCAATATAATTATCATAATCATCATTACTGATTCTAACAGGAATGACAGACTCTGGATGTTAAAAGAGAATCACGGAAAACTTTTCCTAGAACACTCTTCACCGTGAGTATTTCTAAGGAGTGTACGGGACGCCCACGTTGGAGCCTCTCCTATACTAGAAATGCACTTCCAATCCACATGAAGTTCGACGTCTGGTCCGCTTTAGTCCAAACAATTTCTGAATGAGACTTCTTTCTTGGGATAGGCGATCAGAGCTATTAAGACGAATATAGTACATTTTAAAATGCACAGCTGCAGA